CAGTGCGGTTGGCGCAGGATAGAGCAGGGTTTAGGGCTGTTGTGCATAGGGTCGCTATGAGTCGAAAACGACCCGACGGCACATAACAACAACAACAACAACAACATCCAATTTGCTACTCTTTTTCTCTTGAGTGGTGCATTTAAACCATTCACATTCAGTGTGATTATTGAGAGGCAAGGTTTTATTGCTATTATAGTTTTTAGGGTTTTTTTGGTGTTACTTCTAGTTACTTTGGTCCATCCTACACTCTGTGGCACCTCTGTAAGAAGGACATCTCTCGGTAAGAATAGCAAAAGTCAACAGAGCAGCCAACAACAAATCTTGGGGAGGGTGTCGAGAAACTGGAACTAGGAAGTGGATGCCTCTCCTGCTTCCAAACCTGTCTTAAAATTGGGCGTTCCACCAAACGCTGTCCACTGTGGGCAGCCATTACGGCGTTTGACCCCCAGTGGCACAAGGTTCAGCTTCACAACAAACCCAGATTACCTTAATATAGCAAATTGACAGAAGACTGCTGTACACCTTAGAAGAATGTTCCTCCAAAATGAAATAACAAACAGTAGCAAAAGCCATAACAATAGGCCCTCGGTTCCAACCAACATTTAAATATAAGGGTCCTCATAAAGTTTCCAGAGATATTTGGTTTAGGGAGTGGAAGCTGCTCCTTCTTCTAAACCTGAATCAATCTGGGAGCTCCACCAAGCACTGCCAGTTATGGTGTTTGACACACCTGTGGCACAGTTGTTCATCATTACAGCAACTCTAAGTTACTTCAGGAGAGCAAATAAACAACTGCTGTCCTACTTAATGTTCATCCAAAAATCACTTAACATTTGTGGCCCTTGGTCCATAACACCTTTTTAAATTCCAGCATGCCCAAATGCTGGTGGACTGTGAGCTAGAGACCCCCCAAGCCATGGATTCTCTCACGTAAGGAACATTCAGTGTTCTTTTGGCTTTATTTTCACCCCACGTGGAATCAGCCGATTGGACTTGCCAGATGACTTGGGAGTCTCTGGCTTATAGTCTACCAGCATTTGTACGTGCCAGAATTTAAAAAGGCGGTGGGTGGGGTCTGGCTACGTCTGCAAGCTGATGGTTATTGAGAATCAGTTTTATGCTGGCTGATGGATTCTCACGCCTTGCTGAGGTTCACATAAGGAACATTCAAGGTTATTTTGACTTTAATACTCTGTATACTAGTAGTATTTATTATATATTTGCTATGTTATTAGATTCCCTCAAGTCAAGTAAACCTAAGAACAAAAGGCCTAAATCCTGTCCTATCCTGTATCATCCTCATCATCTCTGACACACTTGAGCCCATTGCTGCAGTTAGCATATCTATCTCTCCGGTTAGTAGTCTTCTCTCATTCACTGACCCTCTCTGTCTGTCCCAGCATAAAGCCTCTTTCTAAGGAATAGCCTCTCCCAGCAAGATGCCTAAAGTATTTGAGATGAAACTTTGCCATCCTGGCCTCCAAGGAACATCTTGACTATACTTTTTCCAAGACCTGTCTGTTTGTAGTAATTACTACTTTTACAATCAGAAAAAAACATTGTGGGTAATTTTTCTCTAGTTATTTCTAAAGCTCGTGCTTTCTTGTAGAACTGGTTCCCAAGGATTCTGACACATGGTGACCCCATGTATATCAAGGTAGAACTGTTTTCCATAGAATTTTCAATAGCTAACTCTTTTTGGACATAGATTGTCACACCTTTTTACCCCAGGAATCTGTGAGTGAATTAAAAATTACAGCTTTTCAGTTAATGGGTAAATAAGTAACTATTTATACCACCCTGTGGAACAAAGAGAATTATTTAAATCTGTATCTCTGATTTAAAGCTTTTAATTTGTCTATGAAAGTCTATTAAAAAGAATTTAAGATACGTTTTTCCTTTTATGTTTATAAATTATTAAGGATGTAGTTATTATTATAAAAAGTTATAATTCCTCTTTATATATTTTTTCTATTTTTCTGCAAAGAAAAGTTCTAGAAAATAATATGATTCATTTGTAGTATGTAGTAACCAGTTATTAATGAGTTGTCAAATGTTTTGTTCTTATTTTAAAAATAGGAAAAAGCTCATGCAGTGGAACTATGGCAAACTGTTTCTCAGGAGTTGGATAGGCTGCAGAAACTTTATCAAGAATATATGACTGAGGCCCAGATTCATGTAGTTGAAAGTCAAAAGCAAAAGGTATGCGTGATTTTTTTGTTGTTTATTTTTTTTTTTTAAATCTATAAAACCCACTCAGATATAGCTGACCCTCCAGTAGGTTTTCAGAGGCTTTAAATTGCATGGAAGGAGGTTTCCTAGCTTTCTCTCATAGATAATGCTGGAAGATTCAAGCTGTCAGAAAGGTGCAACATTTGAGTTACCAGGTCAATTCCATACCAACTAGCCTTAAATATATGTAAGAAATTATATTCTGAAGAACTCAGTTTTGGAAAGGAATGTCAGAATGTCTCTCTTTCATGTTATCTATCTCAACATTAAATAGACCTTTGATGGTTAGGAGGAGCCGTGGAGGTGTGATATGTAACATATCAGATGCTTAGCTGTTAGATGAGCAGTTCAAATTCACAAACCACTCTCTGGAATAAAGATTGGCAGTCTTCAGCCTTGAAAACCCTATGGAAGGTCACTTTAAGTCAGAAGTGACTTGATGGCAGTGATTTGGTCTGTTGATGACTAGAAGTCTCTTGAGAGGTATTAGTGCCTAGAGCTCTGGTGGTATTTTCTTGAGGGAGTTGTGCTGCTAACCCAATGGCCATGCCTCTCAGATGGTTTGAATCCACTGGTTCCTCCCTGGTAGAAAGATGTGCATTCTCTTTCTGTGTAACCTTTGAAAACCTACCTGCAGGTCAGTCAGCTTTGAGTCAGTTTCTAATCAATGGCAATAAAAGGAAGAGTCTACATTGATTTCTAGAATATGAAAGCTGTATTTAGTTCTGGGAAACAACTGTGTGTATTAATGAAGATTATTGTTTACAAAACTTTTATATGCTTATTTTTTGACCTGACTGCAAAAGTTATATTTTAGGTCAATGAGAGAATCTATTCACATATAATGACAATGCTATGTAAAATGAAAATGTTGGCACGTTAAAATAGATACCATAAACTGTCCTATGGGAGAAAGAGGAGGTAACCTCTTCCCATAAAAATGTAATGCAGTTGAAAAATGGAGCAGTAACGCTACTTCCTAGAGGTAGAAGTACATTGAAGACTCCTTAAGTCTAGGCTTTCGGTTTGTGTACTAACTTTTCTGTTTATAGCTGAGTTGCTGTCTACTTTCCTATAAATATGACCTTTTCTACAATAAAATGTTAAAAACTGTTACAAAATAGATACCAAAATTTTCTGGCATAATCAGAATAAAATTTTGCAGTAAGAATGAATGTGAATAGTTATTAAGGACTTTTTGTTATCCAAAGTTAGAATTCTCTTTTCTTTTAATTCTTTCTAATAAATAGAATGTAAGTAGAGAGCTTTGGTGGCCTAGTGCGTGAGGAGTTGTGTTGCCAATGCAGAGGTGGGCTGTTCTAATCTGCCAGTTAGCCCAGGAAAGAAAGATGCAGTCTCTTCTTATGTCATTTACAGCCTCGGAAAATCCACTTCAGATCAGCCATGAGTCAGTTCTGACTCAAAAGCAGTGAGTTTGTAGTAGCTGTCTTTTTTTTTTGTTGTACATCTCCATGTCTAAGCACTCAGTGTTTGTGTCTCACAAATCCATCCATTCCATTAGAAAATGTTTTTTTGGTGTGTGGTTTTGTTTTGTTTTTTTAAAATTATTCCATTCATTCTTTTTGTGCAACAAGTGATATGTTATCATGGGAGAAGGATGGGATTAATTGCCTCTGAAAACTCACTGAAGGGTCAGCTATGGGTAGGTTCCGACTCTACAGTATGTAACATAACACATACAATATGTAATAATTCCAATTTTACTTTTTTTTTCTGTGACTGTTGAAAAGGCTTATGTCTCTCTTCAGTTCTTCAAATTCTACAGTTCTCCTTTTCAAATACTATGGGTATTTCTAATACTACAAATCTACTTAGGAATTTTAATCTAAAAATATAAGAATATTTATATTAATATCTGCATTTTATAAAAATAGTAGTAAATATCATAGATTGGAAATAATCCATCTCTGATCTGTTCTTTCAGATTTTTTTTCCCACTGAAATCATAAACCATTTTTAGTATAAGTAGGTTCTTTAAGGTTTGTTTTTTTAGGTTTGGTTTTGTGTTTTCACTTGAGAAAGATCATTAGCTTGCTCTGCAGCCAAGAAGTAGGGGTTTTTTGTTGTTTATCTTTTTGTATAAGACTTTACATTTTTCCTCATTTCCTAGGCTATCTATTGTCTTTAATTCTGCTTGCTTGCTTTAGTATCACCTGCACAAATACAGTTTAAAGGACCAAAGCAACTAATCAAAAAATAGAAAACATGGAACACTCAAGCCATGATAATTTTTTTAAAAGGGGTGAGGCATAATAAATTATGCCATAATTTGTATTACAGGAGGTCTTGTGATCTAGTGTCAAGAAGCAGTGTTGCAATCCTGAAGGCACATGGTTTAAATCCATCCATTGCTCCATGCAAGAAAATGGGCAGTCCCATCCTGTGCGATTAACTACCTCTGAAAACCCACAGGAGGGTCAGCTATGGGTTGGTTCCAGCTCTATGGTATACAACAACAGTTTGTTTTATAGATCTTGAGTAGAGTTATGTGCAGTTTTCCATTCTTGGACACAGTCTCTCTGGCTTATCTGCTTCCTGATGAGTTTCAAATAAAATATAAATCCCTCCCTCACTCATTGCTGTCAAGTCAGAAGTGACTTATAGCTGAGCCTCCAGCATGTTTTTAGAGACAGAATATAGTATGAGTGGAGACTGCCTTTCTTTTCCCAGGGTACCAGTGGTGGATTCAAACCCCTTGAGGCTCCACCTTTGGGTTAGCACCACAACGCCTTACAGAGTAAACCACGAGCTAACATATTTAAAATATATGCTTAAAAACATAAATGTTGTTTTCATCAGATGCCATCAACTCATAACCCTGTTCTATCCTGTGCCATGCTTATACTTTCTGACACACAAGAACCCATTGCAGCAGTCACTGTGTCAATCTACCTGGTTGAGGGTCTTTCTCTCCTTCGCCAACCCCCCACCCTTCCTAGCAACATGTCCTTTTCCCAAGATAAACTATAAATAGCTACAGTAATTTCATCATTGCCACTTTTTTTTAATCTTAGAGAGTTTTTAACTTATTTCTTCAACTACTTTCCACAGTAGCAATCAGGAACAGTGGATGTTGTCTAGATTTAGCCCTAGTGATTGATTTTAGTTAAATTTTAAATAGGGATTGTAAATAAAATGCTATTTACTCTATTTTCTTACTTTCCTCATTTAGGATCAGTTGACTAATTTTCAACGACTAACCAAGCAACTTCATGTTACAAATGAGAATATAGAAATGGTAAGTAAAAACATTCACTTAATATATTCTTTTATTTGCTCTAGAACACATTACTATTAATAAAATATCATATTTATTTGTATTAGTGCAAACCAACAAAGCCAGCATCCAAACCTATTGTTGTGGAGTCAGTGCCAACTCATAACAGCCATATAGAATAGAGGAGAGTTGCCGTATTTGGTTTCCAAAGACCTATGAACAAACGATCTGAACCCATAGCATCTTTTTTTGTTTTTGTTTTATTAATTTTAGTGAACATTTACAGAGATTTTGGATTTCCATGCATTCATTGTTGCACTTTTCTCCCTGCCCACCCCTTCCCCCCCAGTTAGCTCCTCTCTTTGAAAAGTTAAAAAAAAAATTCCTTCATTGGTATACAATCCCCGTAGCATCTTAATGGAAGCAAATAGCCCTGTCTTTTTCTTTTGAGAGGCTGATGGATTAGAACTCTCAGCCTTTTGGCAAGCAGTACTGTGCTTTAACTGCTGTGTAACCAGCAAGCCTGTAAGAAATAATGAAATATTGCATGACATTAGGACAGGCACGACTTTTTCTCTTTATCTCTTTTTCTTTCGCATTTAGAACCATGTCATGGTTTATAGTTTGGTTTTGGGGTTTTTTTTTTTTAGCATCTAAAAAGAAATTTCTATTTGAAATATATTCTAATCTGAAAATAGAATCCTTGAAAGATCTGTTGAGAGTAATCTTAAGGCTATGAGCCTCTCAAAAGTAGAGCTCATACTTTATTCTTTGTGTTTCATCTAGTGTATTGCTACTCATATAATAAGAATAGTGTGATGTATAGGATTAGAGGGGAATTTTTTTCAATATAGAAAAAGTATATATACAAACCAGAGAGCTATCATTATTCTCAATGGAGAGAGATTCAAAATATTTTCCTTGAGAATAGAAACTAGACAAGGATGCTCACTACCACGTCTCCTAGTCAATATTTTATTGGAAGTCTTAGTGATAGTAATAAGGCAAGAGAAGGAAATAAGAGGTATCCAAACTGGCAAAGAGGAGGTAAAACTATCTTTTTATGCAGGTGATATGATAGTATACTAGAAAACCCTAAAAACTCAGCAAGAAAACTACTAGACATAGTTATCCAATTCAGTAAAGTGATAGCAGATAAGATCAACATATAAACATCAATTGGATTTCTCTACTGTGACAAAGAGAATACAGAGCTGGAGCTAAGAAAAACAATTCCCTTCACAATAGCTAATCAAAAGATTAAGTACTTAGGAGTAAACTTAACCAGAAGAACAAAGGATCTATTCAAAGAAAATTACAAAACAAGACTACAAGAAACAAAAAGAAACCTGGAGAAGTGCAAGAATATCCCTTGCTCATGGATAGGAGGACTTAATATTGTGAAAATGACAATACAACCAAAGGCATTTTACACGTTCAATGCAATCCAAATACAAATACGAATTCCATTCTTCAGTGAGATGGAAAAGACAATCTCCAGTTTCATTTGGAATGGAAAGAAGCACAGAATAAGCAAAGCACTCCTTAAAAAGAGAAACAAGGTAGGAGGCATCTTACTCTCTGATTTCAAATCCTATTACACTGCCCTGATGGTCAAGATAGCATGGTACTGGTACAATGACAGACACATAGATCAATGGAATAGATTTGAGAATCCAGATCAGCCCATCTACCTGTGACCAACTGATTTTTGACAAGGAGATGAAATCAGTTAAGTGGGGAAACGACAGCCTTTTTTAACAAATGGTGATGGCAAAATTGGAAAACTATCTGCAGAAAACTCAAGCAAGATCCACACCTCACTCCATATACAAAAACCAACTCAGTGGATCATGGACCTAGGACTAAAACCAAGGACTATAAGCTTCATTTAAAAAAAGCTTGAAAGAACACTAGAAGTCCTAATCCACAGCATAAACAATCTTCCAAACATCCTGAAAAAATCTATAACCAGGAAAGGATAAAATAGATGACTGGGACCTTCTAAGAATCAAATCCCCATGCACATCCAAAAACTTTTCCAACAGAGTCAAAAGGGAAGCCACAGGTTGCGAAAAAATATTTGGTAATGACATGTCAGACAAGGGATTTATATCTAGAATTTTTAAAACACTTGTGCACCACAAGAAGATAGACGTAAATAACCAAATTGAAAAATGGGCACCGAATATGAACAGACACTTCACCAAAGAAGACATTCAGATGGCCAGCAAACACATGAAGAAATGTTCAAAATCCCTAGTTCTACGAGAGATGCAAATATGAGATATCGTCTCACCACAGTAAGAATAGCAAAATTTAACAAAACAGCGAATATCAAATGTTGGTGAGGTTGTGAAGAAACTGGAACCCTTATTCACTGTTTGTGGGGAGTGTAAAATGCAACTATGGAAGGCTGTATGGCACTTTCTCAAAAAGTTGCAAATAGAAATACCATTTGACCCAGCAGTTCCACTACTGAGAGTATACCCTAAAGAAACCAAAACTGCCACCTGAGCAGATATATGTACATCTATGTTTATTGTGGCTTTGTTCACAGTAGCAAAGATTTGGAAACAACTCAAGTGCCAGATGAATGGATAGAGAAGCTGTGGTATATTTGCACAATGGTATACTGTGCTGCACTGAAAAACAAGGAACTCATGCAATATTACATAGAATGGATGACTCTAGAGGACATTATGCTGAGTGAAATATCTCAGTCACAAAAGGACAAACACTGTTGTAAAACAGGACCAACATTGGGGGTGAGGGAAGACTGAGAAAGAGGGGATAAATAATATATACTGTATTGAAACAGATGAGGGAGAGAACTGTTTAAAAGAGATATATGATTAGGTATTATTGTCATGACAGGAGTCCCAAGTGAAGGCTGCAGAGTGGAATGGACTTGGGGGGAGGGATTGTATAACAATGAAATAATGTTTTTATTATTTTTCAAAGAGAGGAGTGAATGCGGGGGAGGGGTGGACGGGGAGAAAAAGGTGACAGTGAATGAATAGAAACCCTAAGTCTGTAAACTTTAATTAAATGAATTAAAAAGAAAAGAATGATTGTTGCATAGTTCAAAAAACTGAAAATAATATGTCATATCATATGAGAATTACATGAAAATCAAATTTCAGTAATTAGAAAGGTATAGTGAAATACTTGGTCATGCAATAAAACTCTACTTAAAGTTAAATCATTATTAATAATATACAGCTTGGTACTATGTTCACCATGAAAGCTTAGAAAATAGAGGCAATCCTTTCTTTGTCAGTACATTCAAAATATTATTGATATATGCTGTATGAGAAACTCTGATAGAAACTCAGATAAGAAAGGAAACTTACAAGGATGTATTTACATGTTATTAAACTAAATGTGGAAGAATAAAAGAATAGTGTGATGTTTATTTAACAATTAACTTAAATCTTTAAAAATATTGAGAAACTAGAACCATTGTTTGTGGTTTGTTATTTTCTTTTTTTTTTCTTTTTTTTTTGCTGACCATCTGCACTAACTTTGATTTCCCTGTAATTTCTTGTAAAGTAAATACAATTTATTCTCCCAGTTCTACTAAATTTGTTTCTCTACCTTCTTAGAATTTTATTTTTACCTTATTGTTGAGTAATAGTATTATGACATCCTAGATAATTCCTCTCCTGTCTTCATTGTTGCTCAGTTAGGAAGTACTTCTTACTAGTTCCTAATGAAAATGTCTTTCTTTAAGGGTGGAATTATGCCATCACAGGTAAATTATTTAATATTATTTTTCTCTGTGTGTACCACTTCATTTACCACTTCTATTTAGCATTATTATCTAGAACAGAGTAGGGTCATTAATGCTTCACTTATAGCTATCTGCATAGGTATCCAAACAGAATAGATCAGGTGTTTATAGAAAGCTTAGACAAAAGAATGCAGCTGCAGGCAGTTTAATGTCATGCAGGTGTTTATCAGAAATGCAAGGGAAGTCTGATCATGACTTTCGTTTTGCTTTTCTTGTGATTGTGGTAGATCTTTCTAGTTAATCTTTTTAAAGATACAGTTTTTGTGTTGATATTAATATTTTTCCTTTTTTTTTCTTTTGGCAGACCAACCAGCATTTTGTGAAAACAGTAACTGAACAAAATGTGGAACTTGAGCAACTACGAAAAAAGCTTAGGTACTTTTAAAAAAAATTATTATTCTATTATAAATTAGTTTTCTTCTAGGAGACTATTGATAGTGTAATTTTTCCTATCACCAATTTTTCCTACCTCTCAGTAAATATGTGTCAGTATGTGTGATTTCTCAGGATGTTTTTTTTTTATGATTCATAGTGACCGTGAACAACAAACCTGAATCAGGTCCTATCCTGTCCCATCATCATCTTTGATACATTTGAGTCCATTTCTCCAGTCATCATGTCAGTCCATCTCGTTGGCGGTTTTTCTTTCTTTCCCTGACTCTCCACCTTTCCAAGTATGATATCCCTTTACAAGGAATAGCCTATGCAAGCAACATGTCCAAAGTAAGAGAGGTAAAGCCTTGCCATCCTTGCCTCAATGGGGCACTCTGGCTGCACCATTTCCAAGACATAGCTGTTTGTTCTTTTGGAAGTCTGCAACAGTACTGTTCTCTAGTACACCTCAAAGGCAACAATTCTTCTGTCATCCTTATTCATAGTCCAACTCTCTCAGATACATAGTGAGTGATTGAACAGACCATGGCCTGAATCAGGTGCACCTTGGTCTTAAAAACTCCTATGATTGCTACTTAATATTTTGAAAAAGTCCCTGACAGCAGACTTACCCAAAGTAGTATATCTTCTGATCTGAATGTTAGTATTGAGGGTGTTGATTGTGTATCCAAGTAAGATGAAGTTATTGATAGTTTCATGATGTTGCTTATTGGCCCAGTGGTAAGGACTTTTGTTTTCTAGATGTTGAGATGCATTCTATATTGAATTGTGTGGTCTTTGATCTTCTGCAACAGGAGTTTCAGATTCTCTTCATTTTTAGCAAGTGAGATTATGCCATCACGTAATGTAGGCTGTTGATGAATTTTCCTCTGATCCTGATGCCACATTCTTCGTAGAGTTCAGCTCCTTAAGTTATTTGTTCAGCATACAGATTGAATAGGCAGGGAGAAAGAATGCAACCTTGACACACTCTCTTCCTGATTTTAAACCATGCCACATTCCCTTGCTCCATTTGGACAACAGCTTCTTGGTCTAGGTATAGATTTCATACGAGCATAATTAGGTGTTCTTGGATTCCCATTCTTCATATTGTCGGCCGGCCGTAGTTTGTTGCGATCCACATGGTCAAATGTCAAATGCCTTTGCATAGTCAGTAAGTCTTCTGTTATTTTCTGCTTTCAACCAGGATCCATCTAACATCAGCCATGATAACCCTGATGTCACAGCCTCTTCTAAATCAAGCTTGAATTTCTGGCAGTTCCCTGTTAATGTACTGTTCCAGCTGTTCTTGGATAATCTTCAGCAATATTTTGCTTGCTTGTTATATTAATTATATTATTCAATAATTTCCACATTGTGTTGGATCACATTTCTTGGGAAAGAGAACAAATATGAATCTATTCCAGCTGTCCTCCAAATTTCCTGACATAGACTGGCAAACACATCTAGGGTTACTTATATCTGTTAGTTGAAACTTGTCAATTTGTATCCAGTTGATTCCTGGAGCCTTATTTTTTGCCAGTGTCTTTAATGTAGCTTGAACTTTCTTGTTTGTTACCATATGGTTCTGTGTAGTTAATTCTTTTTGGTACAATGACTTTGTGTATTCCTTCCATCTTCTTTAAATGTTTCCTGAATCATTCAAATTTGTGCCCCTTGCATTCTTAGGTATTGCAGCTTCAGGCTTGAATTTGTTTCTTTCTTTTTTCTTTTAGCATCAAAAAGAGATAGTTCTTCCTTTTTTATTTTTTAACTCCAGCTTTTTGTACATTTTATTATAGTACTTTTCTTTGTCTTTCCAAGCTGCCCTTTATTCTGACATCCATTTTGGTATTTGCTTTCTCCCCTGTATTTGCTTGCTTTCTTCATGGTATCTTTGATGGCATTCCACAGCTTATCTGGTCTTTAATCTTTAATGTTCAGTGCGTCAGACCTGTTCTTGAGATAACTTTTAAATTCAGGTGAGATAGGCTCAAGGTTCTATTTTGGCCCTGTTGTTTTCATTTTCTTCAGGTTCGTTGAACTTGTTCATGAGTAACTGGTGGTATGTTGCATAGTCAGCCCCCTGCCTGCTTTTGACAGTATATACTGAACTTTTCCAGCTATTGCATTCATAATCAAAAAAGGCTATTTCAAGGTCCATTCTAAAGTACGGTGCTGTGAGCTGCAGGATACCATTTACACACATAGAAGGAAGATCTGTTGATACAACCATTATTCAAATATATGCACCAACAACTAAAGCAAAAGATGAGGAAATTAAGGATTTCTAATAATCAACACCCTTGATACCAGCAGTCACAAAATGAGCAGATGCAATGTATGGTGGTGGCCAAGTCTGACTTCTACTTGCTTTATAAGGATGACCTTTCCCTATCAGTAATATCCATAGCTGCTCCTTGGAGGCAAGGATTCTGAAGCTTTGGCTGACAAACTCTTGGCATGTTGCAAGGAAGGACCAGTCCTTGGAGAGAGATGTCATGTTTGTGATGGTGGAGGGACAAAGAGAGGAAGACCCTCGATGAGATGGATTGATTCAATGACTGGGGTAATGGGGGTAGGTGTGTCAGAGATAATAAGATTGACACAGAATAGAGCAAGATTTAGGGCTGTTGTACACAGGGTCACTATGAGTCATGGGAGATTCGATGGCACATAACAACAACAATATCCATAGGATAAATCAAATAGCTCCCTGGTCTGAATTGCCACTGCACATGCTCCTGCACCTATTTCTACCAATCATTGGGCCCAATGTTTGTTGCAACTTGACTCAAAGACTTTACTCACAGTTGCAGGGTTTATTAGGGAATTAGGTTAGGGAATATAGGAGGCAAAGAATATGATACAAAGCAAGTCCAGGTTTAGTGCCATATCTAATTAATAAGGCACAATTCTTCGATTAATGAGAGTCCAGATTCACTTCAGCAGCACAAATGCAAGGAGCCTCTGGTTTCTTCAGTCATCCAGCAGACAGAGCACTTACAAGTTAGCTATTCCTTAATCATGCAGCAAGCCAAACCTTTAACTTTGGTTCCATCTCTAAGGTTCTAGCAGTGCCACAGTCTTGTCATAGTCTCTTCAAAACAAAACCTTTAACTTTGGCTTTATCTCCAGGGTTCCAGTAGTGCTATAGTCCCTTCATCCTCCTTTCACCACTGTCTCTCACAATGTCTTCATCGTCCCTCTCCCACTGTTTCTCACAGAGTGGAAAGTGTTCTCGTACGTTTGCCCATAGCTGTTGATGATTTCTAAGATGTTATATCTGCAGTTAAGGTAGCTGGAGACCATTCCCTTCAATGGGGGCTAACACAATGGCTAGAAAAGTCAAATTTCAATGGTTCTGATATCTCACGTCCACACATACACAAAGAAGTCCTGTTAATACAACTACTATTCAAATATGCACCAACACCTAAGACAAAAGATGAGAAAAACTGAGAATTTATTTCTAGCAATCAGCTGGTACCCTTTGACCAGTAGCCAAGAAATCAGGAGACATTGCATTGGGTAGGTCTGCTCTCAGGGACCTCTAAATTGCTGAAGAGCAATGATGTCAGTTTCAAGAAAAAGGGACACCTGATTCAGGCCATAATCATCTTAATCACCTGCTGTGCATCAGAGACCTGAACAGTGAGTGAATAAGGATTACAGAAGAATTGATGCCTTTGAATTTTGGTTTTGGAGAAGAGTTTTGAATATCCCATAGACTACCAAAAGAACAAACAGATGTATCTTAGAGAAGGTGCAGCCAGTGTGCTCCTTGGAGGCAAGGGTTGTGAAGATTTGTCTTTCATACTTTGAGCATGTAGCTAGGCAAGGCTATTCCTTGGAAAGAGACATCATCATACCTGGAAAGCTGGAGGATCAGCGAACAAGAGGAAGACCCCCAATGAGATGGATTGACACAGTAACTTCAGCAGTGGACTCAAGAATATCAGATATAAAGGAGATGGCACAGGATAGGACAAGTTTCAGATCGGCTGCTCATAGAGTTAAGAGTTGGACTTGACTTCACAGCACAAACAACAAACAATCAACTTTTGTAGTATCAAGTTGATTGAACATGTCTTTAAGATTCATTAGTGATTATTGATAACTGGAATGCAACCATTGGAAATGAAGGAAGACTGGTAGGTGGAAATGATGGACTTCACAGAAATGACATTGGAGATAAGTGAGTTGTGTACAATCAATTTTTTTTAGAAATTTTTTTTAGAAAACATAGATCACAAATATATAGGCTTCACCTGATGGACTAACAAGAATCTAAATAACTATATCTGTATACAAATAAGACCTGTTTATATGATTATGATTTAAATTTCTTCCTCAAACACTAAAGCCAAAGGTGAAGAAATAGAAGACTTTCACCAACTTCTGAAGTGTGAAACTGATTTAACATGCAGTCAGGATGTGTTAATAATAACTGCTGATTGGAATACAAGAGTTGTAAACAAGTAATTGAGGTCACATGACAGATTTTTGTACCAGCGGTAAACTTCATTGCAACTACCTTTTATGAATTACAAAAAGTTACTATACACATGGGCCTTGCCAGATGGACTGCGTAGTGTGTAAAAAGCAAGGGGTGCATAGGGACAGCCATATCTGAGTTTTACCAACTTCACAGGGAAACTACCCCTGTCAACAGCATCAGAAATACAAAACAAATTCCTATGAGGTCAGACATGTTCCCATCCTCCCGTACATCTATCTACTCATTTCAACACCAATCGTACTGCTTTACTGATGCCAGAATCTAATGTGATAGCTCACAGACCACACAGTATCATATTGGGGAGGTCACAAATCTATAACTCAGATTAGCAGCAGAATACAGTCTGGTCAGCTTTTGAAATATGCTCGCCAAGTGCCTCAGCCTTGATCCTCATGGCTTTAGATCAGTGTTAACAAAGTTCTCATTCCTGCCCTGACTCTACCCTCTACCCTCTACCCTCCCCCGCTGTCCAGCAAACTTG